TAAAGTTATATATAATGTACCTTTGTTTATTAATTAAAGTTTCTTCTTTAGCATTAAACTAAACAAAATAACAAAAAATAGAATAAAACAACTATATTGAGTATTAGTTGGAAGAAATAAAATAAGTTGTCAAAGGTTGAACAGTGGAACAATTGGTTAGACATTTATTTATTTATTTGTTTAAACGAACGAAGTTCCTTAACTTATTTAATAAAGTATATGTAAAATACTGCTTTTACAAGGTATAATACAATTTTTTATCTTTATAGATCTCTGTTGATCCAATCACAAGCAAGGATCTAGATAATCATCCAAAAATGCGCCGATGTGACATAAATTAGGTTTAATTTTGCCATTGTGCAAATTCGAAGACAATATTATCAGAAGCTTGGATCCACATTTAGTATTGTTCATTCTAAACAAAAATAGAAATAAATCATGAATTGTTTGTGTAATTCTTTACGTATTTTTAGGTTTTGTGGATGAAAAATTTACAATAAAAACTCTAAAAACTCCAAAAAATATTCGTAAATTTTTTTTAAAATTTGCTATTCGTTCAAAATTCATTTTAATATATCTGTTAAAATGATTACAGAAAATCAATTTATGTTTTTGTATGTTTTTTTATCTGGAACTGCTGTGATGGTAAGTTATCGTAACAAATATTTTGATATAAATATTTTTTTAACTTACATTTTTACTTCTTTAAATTTAGATAACATTTCATAATTTTATCATATCTATCGTTTTATACAAAGCTCGTAAATCCAATGTTTCTAATATCAGCAAAATTATCTTGAATCTTGGTATCATGTTACTTTTCTTATTCAGATCTATGCTTGTGTATGCACCTACCTGGACAGAATTACTTGGTTGCCAAATTATATTTTATATGCAATTTGTTGCAACATTTATTTATAGATCAGCCTTGGCATTTTTTTTATTGTGGCGTTTAAGACAAGTTGGAAACTCGCAAATAGATAAATGGGCGAGTATCGCCCTCTTATCAACTAGAACAATAGCTCACGTATGTAAAGTTACTCAAATATATTATTACTTTCTCTTACAATTTATTTATTCTTATTTTTTTTTTATGGATACAGCTTATAACATTTGGTTTTATCAATGTATATGTATCACGAGACTCAACTCGAACTTATTGTCTATATAGAAATTCTGGGTTACAAATACCAGAATCGATCTCAATAGCCATAGACTTTTTGATTGATATATATATTACGGTTAGATTAATACAAATCCTTCGTAACGCCAACAAGAATGCATCAAATCTCAGAACAAGTATGAATAAGAAAACAAAACGATCATTATTTACTGCAGTCATGTATTGGAATTTTGTTCGTTTGGCAGTGGTTTTTGGACTAAATATAATGGCAGTAGTGTATTTTTTACCTTTGCCTGACACTGGTGATTCTCATTTTACTAAGTATATTTTTAGTACATTTTTCTTTATTCTAACGTCATATGTTGTGACTGTGGATGCTGAAATTGTTAAAGTAATCGAAGGTGAAAATCAAAATAAAAAAGGATCAAATAAATATACAAGTGAAAATTCGAGTTACCCTAGTTCCCCCACGAATCGTGCGACATATAAAAATACTGGTTCAGTATCACTTTCAAAAGATAATACACCTAATACACCTAATACACCTAATACACCTAATACATATAATACACCTAATACACCTAATACACCTAATACACCTAATACATATAATACACCTAAAATGTCACAAAGTGATTATGAGGTATCCATGAAAAGATTGTCATTCTTTGAATGGACTAACCTTGTTTTGGGCTTTCGACATGAAAAAAATCATATACAGGAATTTACCCAAGAGGAATTTGAAGAAATTATTGGATCTTCTAAAGCTACCAATCGCGACCTCGAAAAAGGCGATGCTACAAATCGAGACAGCAATATTAGTGGAGGATCAACAATAATCATCCCAAACACGACTGACACAACTGACATTTAAAAAATTGTACAATAATATTTATTTACTCAGTGAAAATTAAAAAGTTTTTAGTATTTTCCTTTAAATTCATTAAATTCTTGTATAATATTTATTCACCCTAAGTTTAGCATAGCAATTCTATTTATTCCATTATAATAATAACACAAAATGAATAATAAATAATGTTTAATTGGTTTAATTGATATTATATTGACTCGAATTCTAATATATGACTTAATGCATCTGATTGGTTTGTTATAAATTCAAAATTCAAATAATTCTTTATTAAAAGAAGAATTACAGGTTAATACAAATCAGAAATTATACAAAATTATTGTTATGCATTTTTTATACACATTGCAATGAATGGAAAATATGGAAAATTTGTAAGTAATTTTGCATGTCAAAAAATGTGAAATATTATATAACAAAAACATTAAAACAAATGTAAACACTAAATGTTAAATGTTAAATGACAAACGTAATGCACTAAATGTTAAATGCTAAATCATAAATGTAATCTAAAATGTAATAAATGCTAAATGACAAATGCTAAATGTAATAAATGCTAATTGACAAATGTAAACACTAAACACTAAATACTAAATGCAGAAAAATATTACAAAAAATCAATTATTTTATTTAAATGCGTATGAGTGGCCACGAAAAGGATAACCATGATCACCTAGAACCTTTAAAACGATAAGTTCGCTAGCTATTTATTTATTTATTTTATAATATTATACAAACCAAATATTAAGATTACGCAGTCGATTATTTCATGCTATTATACCCCTTATTGATAATTTTTCTTTTTAAAGCAAATCGAAATCTCTTTCTTGGAGAGAAAGCATGAATTTTTGTTGTTACCTCTAGAATATGAAGAAAATATAAAACAATGATGAAACATGAATTTGTTATACTTAATTTATTAACAAACCTAGAACATCTTACCTTGAAGGTACTTTTCCTACTTTTTCTTCTTGTAGCACCAAAAAGTACCTGCCCTTAACCTGGAAGGTACCTAGTATTTCCTTCAGTAATTTAATTTTTTCCCTATTTTAACATAAATATTGTTTCTCAAATTTCTCTCAAGAATTACACGCGATATAACTGATAGTGATATTTCATATACCTTTAAGCATTTTGAGGACATCAAACAGTGTTTTTCCTCATTAACATTTGCAATTGTATGATTTGTTGAGATTCGTAGAAACTTAAATATTTTAAAATCAACCGAGAACAAATCTTTTGTTCAGTTTGCCAGAAGGCAATGAGATATGCGTTAATTAGTTAAACCTTGGATAATATGGGAAATAAAATATAAATACTTATTGTGCCACACAAATAATTTATAAATGGTTATTCTTAAAATACCATGTATTTTGTAAAAAAAAAAAAAAAAAATATAAAAATGACAAACAAATCAAATATTTCATATGGTTAAAAATAATAACAAACAATAATAATACTTTAAATACAAGAGTTTTTTTCAAAAAAATTGTCGCTAACCATATATTAAGTAAATCAAAGTGTTCCCAGCACAAATAGTCATTTCTTTGAAAAAGCATGAATTTGTGTGTTAATCCAATAAAAACATCAGAAATAAAGTTGTACCTTATTTCATCTTTTTCATGTGCTAAGTAAAAAACAAAGTAGAACATCTTACCTTTAAACAAGTCGTGTCAAAAAAAAAAAATAAGAACTTACTTTGAAAGGTCTTTAACATTTTAATTTTTTCCTCATATTAACACAAATATTCACTGTTTCAATTTGTTCCTCTAGATTTCTGTTAAGTATTATTGGTAAAAAATAAATAATAATAGGTGCTTCACATTATATACCTGATAGTGTCGTTATATTATAAAAGAAACATTAATACGTATATGGTAGAATAACAGAAAACCATCAATGACATATAATCGAAGTCTTGATTTTCACCTGAAAGAATGAAATTTATTCGATCAGAATAAGTGTAATCCTCAGAAGAATGACCTGCCAAACAATACTCTATTTTTTCTATTTCTTGAGACATGGGAATATTCGTTATGAATATCTTGAATTTTTCGGATCACATGATGCTGACGTTAAATATACAAATCATTACTATTGCGGTACTTATATAATAATAGAAAAAAACTACATTTAAACGGAGGGAAAATTAACCGGTGGGCAGAATTAAGTTAATGTTGGTGGGGTTTGACCAGGAATTATGTAATTCTGCCTATGGTGAAATTTCCCCCGTGAAAATTAACATCACTCATAATAATAAATCAAATAATTAATATAAAACGATAATTTAAATCCGTCAGCAAAGCGACGGGTCACATACTAGTTATTTTTTAAAATATCAATAATACGAGAGAAAAAATAATGAAGATTATCTTAACATGAGGATACGAACGTAAAAATAAAATCCTGCGTTATTATACCTCCGACCTCTTTTCGAGGTAGAAAAACGGCACAGATTTTTTATAAGCAAATTGCTGCAAGGAATAAGTTTGTTGTAACTAAAATTTTACCTTTCTTAGAGAGAGAAAGCGTGAATTTTTTGTGTTAAGGTAAATGCTTGTTTTTTTTTTGGCCACCACAAGAATACAAAATACGATAAGTGCCTACAAGGTAAGATGTTTTACTTTTTCTTTGTTTTTAATTAGAGCATGAAGAAAATAAATAAAAATATATAAATAAGTTATATACTTTATTTATTATAATTTATTTATTGGTTAGAAAGCACCTCACATTCCTTTATTGACAATATAATTTTTCCTTCTTTCTTTAAATTTCTCTCATAATTAAAAATATCAGATATGCAAAAAATGCGCTTCACGTGACATAACTAATAGTTATTCATATATGATAGAATAATAGAAGAAATTGTATTTCAAATCTTGCTAGAATTTTTACTGCTCTATTATGCATAAAGTAAACACTTCTATTTGAAGTATTAATAGACGCAACTTGATTAAGTATACTAAATTCGGGTCTAAATAATGTGTACACTTCAAAGTTGAAGAAAAAAAAAACAAATAAAAATCATTGAAATGTTGTCTTACCTTCCATAACCATATTTTATATGATAGGACGGAACGACTGTAGAAAAAAATATAATTTACGAAGATATTATAAAATATTTTGATTCCATAAATGTAATAATGTTTTTATAATTATTATTAATTTAGGTTTCATAGTTGCAGAGTTTAATGGTCATAATCTAAATCCACGATGAAGTAGGAGGCAATTGCTACGAAAAAATGATGACTCTTTAGGGTGTAAGATTAAACCATAGTCAACTGGTCCTGACTGGACGTACGAACGAGAGGCTAAATTGCTTTTAAGATTATTGTTATTCAAACTTAATTTATGGATTCTATTAATATTTTTATCCATGATTTTTTTAATCATATTTTATTTTTTTAAATGGGTGAAGTTTTGTTGCACCCAAAGTTAGATTTGAATCCCAATTAATCCTGAAATGGATAATTCTATAAATCCTAATGTAATGTCCACTCATAATAAATTAAAGCAAAACTTAATTCCTCTGAGTTGGAAGGAGAGAATGTTAAACGAGTGAAATGATATATCATGTTGGGTAAGGCATTTTTAATATTCTTATCTTTTATAAATATTTGAAATATTTATTAATTTATTATATAAGTTAAGGTTAGTGTTAGGATCAGGGTATTATGTAATTTTGCCCAGTGATGACAATCAACACTGGTGACAAATAGATTTATTTTATTTATTAATTTATTATTTTATTATTAATTATCAACTTATTTATTATTTTATTAATTTATTTATTAATTTATTATTTTATTAATTTATGTTTTATTATTTTATTATTTTATTATTTTATTAATTTTTATGATAGAAGAATTCAAGCCAGAGTTTCGTCTGTTAAAATATTCTCATCATCATAACTCTGTAAATCGTGAAATATTTCTTCAGTTATTAATAAAGTAAGGAGGATTGATGTCGATGAAATATTCTAAAAATTACGTAATAAAAATTATTTTATTAATTTAAAAAAGGATGCTTGGCGATAAAGAAAGCTCTTGGAACCAGATTTGAGTATGATTATTTATCCGTTGAAAGAGAAGGAAGAGAGTAGGTTACTAATTAAAATATTTACTTAAATTCGCCTTATTTAAATTCGATTTATTTAAAATTATTTTATTTTTCTAGGATCCATTGATAAATACTACAAAATTAATACATTAGTTAATATAATACCCAATCAAATTCAAATACCAACATCAGAAATAATTGATGTCTCATACTGGAACTTCACACCACAGAATTATTAATAATCTCATATGAATTCATGATTCCTCTTATTTGGCTCATCTGCAACAATATTCATAATGAATCTAACCTCAAAATTATCAACAACGAATTCGACAGCTGCAACAACAATGCAACGACAACGGCAGCAACAAATAAATCGATCTCTGTTTCTACACAATTAAATACTGGCTAATTATGTTCCAATAAAGTCACAAGTAATGATGTGACTAGTCAAAGACAAATGGGTAATCACGCTCAAGATGATGGCGATGATTATAATAATAATAACAATAATACACCCATTGCAACTAATCAATAGAATTCCAAATGATCATGTAAACATTCCACGACAAATGACTAATTGTCTAAATTCTAATCAATTCAAAGATTCGAACGTGATGACCAATTCAGTTCAAAATTCTGATTTAATGGTTAATCAAATTTCAGAGAATATCCAAAGCAAATTACTCAAAGCTCCCCTGTAATCTCTGACTCTTATGAGATCTAATTAGTTTAATGAGTGATTTGATTCAATAGTAAATCTAATTCAATACAATGGTGACAATGATGATTCAAATATGCCGGTTCTAATGAAATCATTAAATAATGGATAAAGTGAATATTGTGAATAATGTGAGCAATGAGAAGAGAGAGAGAGAGAATGCAAATGCAAATAGCCAATCAAGTAACCATGAATTCAATACCTAGACCAAGAATTCCTACAATTATAATTTTAGATAAGTATTATATTGAACCTATTTATGAATTTGCGTCAACAAATGGACAGAATCACAATAAATTAATCCTCAATATCAAATGAATCAATAACAACAACAACGAGTCTCAGCAACCATAATCAAAAATTGCATTTTGTTAGTCAGAATCAATATTCTTTCATTTTGTTTTTTTAGTTTTTAATATTTTCAATATGAAATATATTATATGAAAATGGTAATTGTGTATTATGATAAATTAGATTTTTAATTCCTATTCACCATTTGTATATTGAAATATATTATTTTAAGCTTCCATTATATTTCAGAGCTGAAATTTAACGGAAGCTTTTAAAGCTTTTAAATATTAATTGAAATTTAAAATAATAATAGTAAAATTAGTTCACAGAAAAATTATTTCCTTTTTAATCATGATCATTTAGATGTATTTTATAGAGATTGAGTTCCATCTTTCCGCAAGAAATATAAAGTAGGAAAGATCTATTTAAAGCTTAAACTATTGTTATGTGTAATTTTGAAAATTTACTAAGGATTGAAAATTTAATTTGTCTGCTTACACAAGAATGTTAATTAGTGATTGTAGTTTTGGTTGAACAGGACATTTCACTTGTATAATGAAATTTTGTTATGAAAATATAAATTAATACAACATGAATGTAAATAAAACTTAACAATTATAAATAGTAATAGTATAGTTTTCAAGATGTAGCATTGTAAAATAAAAGTTATAGTAATGCATCATGTAAAATATTATAAATTTGATCTTTCCTTTTATTATTTTGTTTCTTATAATAAGTTTTTTTTTAAAAAAAAAAATGAGTTTCATAAGAAGTTTATATATTTATTTTTAGTTGTTTATTATATTTTTTTTAACTTTTAAATATAAAAAAAATATGTAGTCTCCTTTTCCTCATCAAGATGCTTAATGATCCTTTAGAATCGGCATTATTAAAAATATTGACAATTTGAAGTAGTTGATTCAAAATGACTCCTGTTTTTAAATTTCCTTTTCCTCCATGGAATCAATATTATAAGTATCAACATCAGAAGTAGTTGACTCATTGGACTTTAATAATAAATTAGGATCTATAAAATATATATAATTTGTAATTGATCATTTATTAAAACAAACTAATTGAAATTATTTTAAAAATATACCTGATAAATTTCCAGATTTTATTTCTTCCAATAAATCATGCAATCCATGAAGAGTATGAATATATCGGCCAATATAAGATGATTGAGGATGCAACTTACTTGAATGTGAAAATAATTCAAATAATTCTTGCTTTTGAGATTTTGATGTATTTTTTTGATTTTCATCAGCAATTTTAAGTTGTCGCATGACATCATTATCTACTATATTATCAAAAAGTTTTTCTGATATATCGAAAAATAAATCAGATAATTCAACAGCAGTAGGACGTTCAGAAGGATCATCACTCCAACATCGATACATCAAGTCTAAATACCATTCTGGAATCCAATTTAACATAAAATCAGGGACCTTTGGTCTTACACCATTACATATATCTATCATCAAATAAGTATCATGTGCTTGATCAGAAAATGGTCGTTGCGCAGTAACTATTTCATACATAATTCCACCAAAACTATAAATATTGCGATTATTTCTCTCATTTGTAGATTTAATTTTCCTTAACTCCTCAGGTGGAATATATGGAATTGATCCATAAATTTGGTTATTTTTGTTGTTAGAGTTTAATCTACTTAAACCTAAATCTACTCTTAAGTCAGAGTCGAAGATTTTTAAGGTTTTTACAAAAATTTTTCCACTATGAAGGTCATAATTAATAAAATCTTTACCATTTAAAATTATAAGAAGCCATGCTATTGATTTTAATATGTCTAACTTTAATTCCCACCCTAAATCCCAAAAATTTCTTATTAAAAAATTATGTAAGTCATCATCATATAAATTCATAATAATAATGTAGTTTTGTGTAGAGGGATTTTTTGAAATTCCATAATATTTGGTAAAGGAATAATTTTCTTGAACAGTCTTTACCTTAATATGAAAATATTGAAAGACAAATTAATAAATTACAAAATATTAAAAACTTACATTTTAATTATAGAGGAACGTACCACTTTAAGAAATTTAGTTACATTATATCTAGAATCTTTTATTTCTTTCAAAGCAACTTTTTGACCTATTAAAACACAATCCCAATCTTGTTTGATAAAATTCCATTTCCTTTTTATTCCATTTTCTAATTCAGCAGAATACACAGATCCATGAACACCATCTGCTATGTGTTCGATATTTTGAAAATTATCATAAGATAAATATTGTAATTTATAGTAATCGTTATTTGCTTGAGATTCTTGTAATATTTTATCAATGTTAGCGTTCCCACTAGACCAAGTTTTAAATTCTTGGATAAAATGTTCTTTAGTACACAACGAGCATTCTCCAATTGAAAGAATGGAATTTTTGCAATCGGAATAAACGAAATCCTCAGAAGAATGGCCTGCCGAACAATAATTTATCTTTTCCATTTCTTGAGGCATAAGAAATAAAGAAATAAAAGGAATATTTTTTATCAAGATGTTTTATTCCGAATTTATATAATTCATTGTTCTTTTTTTTTAATCTTAATTTGTGTTAATATCTAGGGGTAAGGGGGCAACTGATCGTGTTACATAATAATATTATTAATAAAAAAACCCCCGAAATTAAAAAAACCTACTAATCAAATTATTTTACCCCCCGAAATGCGGTACGTGTTCAATCTGTATCTTCGCGACTTTCAACTTTGTTTTATTTAAAAAAAATATTGTAAAGAGAAAAAACCATCGGCTATTAAATATGGTAAAAAAAGTTAAATTTATATTATTCTTACAAAAAAATTTGCTAATTTGAAGTGTTTTTGTGCATTAGAAACATATATTAAGTGACAAAACCAACTCTCAAGTATTAAAAAAAATCAAGAACTATATCATTTACAACCAGAGTTTAATGGCAAACAGGTTTTTTTTTATAAAAAACGAAATATGCAGAGGAATTCTTAGTTTATGACAAGAAAGATAGGATTTTTTATGTCTTTGATAAAAAAAACTAATGAAAAATTTAATACCTTTGCTTCTTGGATTAGGTTTCTTAAAAATAAAAAGATATTCAGTGGCGAAAGGTCAGCATTGGTTACAGTTTTTTCGAACCAAACTCTTCTGGTTTAAATTTAGCATCAATATTAAGAACAGAACAAATTCCATATTGGTAAAATAATAATTTAGCAAGTATAGCAGAGGTTACAACATTAATTAAAAAGTTTAATGGTGTGGGAATAAGAGAAATTACCAATGGAATAGGCATTACATTTTTTGGGAAAGATCTAAAAATCGAAAAAGACTTGATATTTAATTGGCAAGAGAACTTAATTTCTTGTAAATTTTGTGTTTTGGGAAAAAGTATTAAAGAAATAAATGGAATAATAACTTAAAAAACTCTTACAGAAATAAAAAATATAATTAATTATGTATCAACAGCAAAAATATGCAGTGGACAAAGAACAGAAGGTATTTATTTTTTATTTTTTAAAAATTTTTATATCGAAACAAATTTTTTAAAAAAAATTAATAATTTATGTATTTTAGGTTTTAAGGAAGTTGTTAAGCTTAGAGGCACTTATCTTGTAAGAAATGAAAAATACTCGGATAAAATTCACGAACCCTTTGCTATCATTGAAAATCAAGATCAACCCGCTGAATCTTATAGAAGAATAGATTGTTATTTGTTATTAACTAAAACAATAATATGTAAAAATTGTCAAAAATTAGAAAATACATTAAAGAAAATAAAAACCCGAAATGAAAAGGGTGTTTTGCCTCTTAAAACTATCCATGCTTCACATGAAATATTAACTGAAAAAATTAAACTTCAAAGAAAGGTAATTAATTAAGATTAAAAAAAAATAATTTATTAAATAAAAAAATATATTAATTTAATTAAAATTTTATTTTAAAGAAAATTACAAGTCAAAATAAAATAATACATACTTTCAAATTAAACTTTGACAAAAAATTGAAGAAGAGGAAGAAAAAGTATCAACAAAATTGGATCAATCACTCAAAAATTAACAAATAAAATTAAAAAAAACGAGATTGATATTTCTTCTTTAAATCCAATATTTCAAGAATTTATCAAAATTTAAAGTGAAAAAAAAAATGGAGTAAGATATCATCCAATGTAAGTATATAATTAATTAATTAATAAATAAAAAAAATTATAAAATTACTTATTTTTTAATTTTTTTATAGGTTTCTTCGATGGACTATTTTAATTTATAGTCAAGGAGGTCATGCAGCATATGAAACAGTAAAAAGTATTATAAAATTATCTTCAATAGCTACAATAAAAAATTATATAAATGAAAATCAACAACATTCAGGATGGCAAAATAAAACAGCTTATTCTCATCACCATAATTATATTATTTTTTAAAATTTTTTTATGGATTTCTGATTCTTTCCATAATTACCGATCTAAAATGACAAGAAAACGAGCCGCTGTATATATAAAAGAAACATGAAAATCCAGAATGACACCAAAGGTGAATTTGATAAAAAGTATTTTAGACAGGTCTACAATAGCAAAAATTTTATTAAATAAAGAAATGTGCGAAAATTTGGCACTTAATGAAACCAGTAAAAAGTTTTAAAAAAAGCAGAGAAAAATATCCTCGATTAAAAAAAAACTCTTAATCTTTGGATATCGCAGCAGGAATAAATATTCTGAAAATTAGTATGTGAAAAGGCTCGATATTTTGCAAATGCAATGAATTTATCTGATAAAGAATTTAAGATTTCCAACGGTTGGTTAGCAGGATATTTAAACAAAGATACAATTAAAAGTTTTTAAAACACATGGAGAGGCGAATATTGCACCACTGGAATCGTCACCCACTGCAAGAATTGAATTAAAAAACTTAATTTCTAAATATAGACCAGAAAATGTATTTAATGCAGACGAAACAGGCTTGCTTTTTCAAATACTAACCAATTTCAGGAAAGGAAAAGGTAAAAATACTTTTTTTTGTTAAGTTTTTAAAATAATATTAAAATTTATTGTATTATTTTAGGACAAAAATAGGTTAACGGTTATGTTAGCTAATAATTTAACTGGAAGTGAAAAATTAAAACCTATTGTTATTAGCAAACATTGTAATCCACGATGTTTCAAAAATCTCAATCGTGCAACATTACCAGTGACTTATAAATACAATAGTAAAGCATGGATGCGACATGATATATTTGAATAATGGTTAAAATTTCTTGATTACAAATTTAATGTTGAAAAGAGAAGTTTTATTATTAGTTGATAATGCGACTTCCCATATTAATCCTGGAACAATAAATTTAATTAAATTAATTTTTTATAGAACATGAATCATGAAACAAATGATAATGCCGATATTGATGATATATTTATATTTATTTTAAATAATCTTTAAATATTATTTTATTGTCTACTGTATATTTAATAATATTTAATTTAGATTAATGAGATTAATGAAATCGATGAAATTGGTGAGGAATAGTATCGTTAATTATTTTTAAATTTTATTTGTTAAAATTAATTATTATTTAATTAAATGAAATTATTTTTTTTAGAGTAGTAAAAATAAAGAAACCGATGAATTAAGAGAATTTAGTGAATTAAGTGAAATCGAAGAAATCTTCAATGTATTTATTTTATTTTTATAATTATTATAAGATATAAATATTGTGATTATTTGTATTACATATTTGTAATAATTATTACATTTATATGGAAAGTCAAGTCATATCAATTTTTTATATTTCTTTTTATTTTGTTATCTATTTAAATTTAGCTTTTAATAATTAAATTATTATTTTTTTTTTATTCTAAATTAATCAATATTTCGATATTGAGATCTTTCTAATATAATTTATCTTAATTGGTTTAATTAGAGTAATCACAAAAACCGTAAAGGTCATAATCGTCGAAATAGAGGTAAAGGTAGAGTCAGAGATCGTGATTATAAAGATCGTGATTATAAAGATCGAGGTGACTGTGAAGATCGTGATAATCAGGAAAATTATGAAAAAAGTTCTTCAAAGTTAAGAAATATTACTCTTCATTTTTTGCCACCTAATACAACATCTCACCTGCAACCTATGGATGCAGGCATTATTAACAATTTCAAAGTAAGTTTTATTTTGTTTCCCAATGTTTTTAATTTTTTTTTTTTATTTTATAATAAACTTTAATAGAATAATTTTTATTATAGCATAAATATAAGCAATTATATGCACAAGAAATGATTAGAAGATTTGACTTTAACGAAGATATAGACAAGTATATTAAAAATATTGTATTTAAAATGATTGCTCGAGAAACAATTAAACAGCTTATACACTGATAATTTACCTTATTAATTAAACATTTAGGTGAAATAATATTCAATAAATGACAATGATACACAAGATCCAAATAATGAAACTTGATTTTAGGAAATGAACTTGAATTTTAAATCTAATATTCTTATCAGATCATGCAGCAATTATTATACCCTAAAATGCAAAATAGTACTGGTGAATTTATTATTAAAGGCATACAAAATATTTGGCATTTTTTGAATTGTGGAATTTTGCAATTCGCTACTGTATCAGACCAGATGACATTATTTGTCCTTCTAAAAAGGACGTAAAGAATTAATTGTCGTTTACGTTAATATGCGTGTGTGATTTTTTGGGAAAGCATTGTATTGCAATTAAAGTTGTTAGTCGAAATTCTTTTCACCCTTGTCAAAATATTTTGACTTTAGTCATATCAAAAGTCTAAATATGTGTCAAAAGTCTAAATGTGTGTCGAGAGTCTAAATATGTGTCGAAAGTTTAAATTTGTCGAAAGTCAAAGTTCAATATTTATTTACATAATATTTATATTATAAATAAGTAGATTAATAAATCAACATAAAATTTAAATTTTTTTAAAGAAATAACAATTTTATTTATTTATTTTATTATTAGAATTCTGTAACAGAATTATAAAATTTCAATTAATATTATTCATTATATTTTTTGCAAATTCTGCACCAAATTCTTCATTAAACTCATCAAACTCCTCATCAAATGTTATTTCCTTCAGATTACTATTACTGTAATTAAATATTGTTAAAAATCACTGTCATTAATTATCACTATTCAAAATTAAATCATCAAAATTTAAATTTGCCAATTGCTGCAATCTGAATTATATTTAGACATTGTGACAACATTTAGACATTTCGACAACATTTAGACATTTTAACATATTTCTACATTATTACATTATTAGAGTCATTGTTAAATTATATTTCGACTGTAGTATGCCTAAATGTTCGTCAAAATAAAACTTACAACTTTAATTGCAATTGTAATCCTTATTATTATAATTGTAAGCATCATTTTTTTTATGTTTATTATCAGTTTAAAAAGCTCAATTCCTTCAATCATAGTTTCTTCTGATTAGATGATAGTGTTTTCATCTCTCTCTCTCTCTCTCTTCATCTCCAACTTCTTCCATTAAATCTTTTAATCTTCTTCAATTTTTAAATTTTTGTCATAGCTCGGATAATCAACAAGATAAAAAATTAAAAAAGGTGTGATGTATGGTGAAAGGTGGAAAATTTATCAAATAGAGAACGAGATATTCAATTGAAACAAAATTTGAGATTACAAAATTTTCGGTGAAGAATGTTGTAAGGCGAGTTGGCTATTATTAAATTAAAAGTAATTTTTGTAATTATTATTTTTTAATTTGTAATTGTAATAAATAATGAAAAAAAGAAAATAAATTAATGATAAGAAATAATAAAATCAACAATATCTTCAAAAACATCCAAAGCTCTCTTATATTAAAAAGTTTCCAATTCATCAAGATTCTAGAGGATTTCAAATTGAATTTAGGAGGATAAATCGTTTCATATCTTTTCTGATAATTTGTTATGACTACTATGATGAAAACTATACGATGATGATGGCGCTGATGACCATAATGAGTGGTTGTTGTTGTTGTCATCCTTATATAATTATATGATTGAATTGAATAGATTGATCAGATTGATTATTGAATATTGGATTCTCAGCGGCTTGAAGTCTCGTCGTGAGAACTTTTGGCATCTTTTATTTAGGTATATAATGCTCGTTTCTAAGGATCTTTTCATTTTGTTTTTTTATTAATCATTTTAGATTAATTTTTTATAAAGTAAGCAAAGCAAATAACAAAAAAAAATAAAAATTAAAATAATATATAAAATAATTATTTATATAAATGTATAATATAATATTATCATTCTCTCGAAATGCAAGAAAAAAAAATAATAAAATTAATAAAATTAATTAATTAAAGAGCTACTTTATACATACAATTTCCTTATTAGAAGATTTAAAATAAAAAAGAAAATTGTACAGAGCAATATTAGTAAATTAGATATATTAAATATTATATGCATTATTATGTTAACTATTGTTAAATAATTAAATATGTTTGCATATTTCCTTTCTGACATTCAAATTTATCAAAAGATTTTTTTTTTTGCAAAAGAAAACAAACGAAATTATTATAAACATTTCTTTATATTTTTGATATAATTTTAATCCATATTATGGAATTAAAATTTATTTATTATATTATGAAAAGAAAATTAAAAACTGCAGATGACAGATGAGATGAGATTGATACTTATTATCAATCATTAATCTGATGTGATTAATATTAGTATAGTTTAACAGCTAAAACAAATTTATTTAATGAATTAAATATTATATGAAAAATTAAAATAAATAAATAAAATTAAATAAATTGAATAAATAAATAAATTATATAAATAATTTAAAAATTGAGTTATTTCCAATATTTTTTTATCTTGATTATAGATAAATAACTAAATTAGATTAAAGAAGAATCAGAGCAACACCCTAAAAGTTCAATGAAAGCTACAAATTGTATACATTTTTTGAATGTAGCAACCCGCTCTATATTTTTTTTAATTGCTTTTTATTATAAAAGAAATGCAAAATCAAATAATTCGTACATTTCTGGCATTGCAAAGAGGTTATAAATATCAGAAATGTTTATAATATTTCAATGATATTAGAGAAAGAAAGATATTTGGTGTGACATTCAGTGCACCATATATTGAGAAAATTAATTATAATGAAAAAAATAGACCAACAACTTATTATTATAACAAAGATTCATCCAGATTGAACTTAAATAAATACAAAAATCCATTATTTAATTCGATTGAAAATAGCTTGAAAGGTAATATGATAAAAAAAACTTCATCTGGTTAAAATCAAACAAATAAGTGACCAACTAACTTTTAATTTTTTGTGGCTGGCTTTTTAGTGACTTTCAATAAAATATTTTATAAGTTAGAAAATGTAATATCAACAAAATCACCTCAAAATTAATTAATCAGAAAAAAAATCAAATAAAATGAATGAAGTAATTGATAGAGTGGGCTTGATTCAAGATATAGTCTTTTAAAAAAAAATAGTGGTATACTTAATATAGACAAAAGTAGTGACCAAAACCACCATCTGTAATGAAATCAACATTGTGATATAATGAAATCTCTAAGTCTGGCAAGGTTTTCAATTCAATCAAGATATGTGATACAAATACTAAATAATTAGAATAATGCTAGTATATTAAATGATGTTGTAGAATTAAATATTGAGGTTAAAGTTAGAGAGTTTAAAAAAAAGAAACAAAATTGCTTGTAAATACCAATAATATTATAAAAAAAAAATTAAGCATATGGCGATAAAGAGAGAGAACTCAAAATTAACAAATAATTTTGATCAATTATATTGAAAAAGTAAAAAAAATCAATAGTAATAGAATCAAAATTTTAAAATGGTAACAATAAGTTTCAAAATTGATATGTTGTAATATTACTATAAATAAAACTTTATAGTAACTAGAAAATGGGTTAAATTTATGTAATGCATGTTTTAGAAGTAATGTTGATAAATTTTAATACTCACAATTAACAACAATTAACAAACAGATAAAGAAAAAAAACTTATACACAACTTTTATTGAGGTCAATTTTACAGACAAGATACATATAAAAGAAAATGATAAAAATTAATTATTCTATTCCAATTACTATCCTCAATAAACCTTTTAAATAATATCTTTTGTACCTCAAAATATTTTATAATCTTATCCAGTAACATTATATAATCTCCAATTATAATAATTATAATTTATTTTCTATCCTTAAAATCTTTCTCATCTATACAATATTTTTCATATCTCAAAAACATATTATTCAGCAGCAGAATTACATACATTAATCAAAGACCAACTCCCAGTGGCAATAAAATTAAATCAATCAAATTTAGATTAAACATTATTAAAACTAATTAATAATGTAAGTATACATTAAATTTAATTGATAAGTCTACAGAAAGCATACAAATAAAATGATTATAGTCATTATAAAAAAAAATACAAAATAATCAGTTATTGCACTTATTTGAACAATGGTGTATATTATATGAATTACAAAAAAATAACTAAATCTGAAAAAAATTAAAATCAAATTCAATATATTGATAAATAAAAGAAAATAGAAATAATGAACATAGTAAATTTAACAATATTTTTGAAAGGTCCTGTAACAAAGACAAACTTTTTATCCAAAATCTAATTAAATTAATATAAATAGAGCATCTATAGAATTCTTATTAATAGACTGATGTTTCATAAAAATTTATACAAGATTCAAAATCAAAAAGAAATTTTGTAGTACATTTTATAGTCTAAAACAAAAAGTTAAGACAGTCTGACTGAAAGCAAAAATCAAAATAACAAAACTATTTATACATCTAACTCAGAGTCAAAGAATCAATTTCTCTGCTATCTCTATCATAAATCATTAGGAAGATTAATAATATAAGGAAAAGGATACAACAGAGAGAAATAGGAAGAAAGAGTTTCAAGAAAGTCAAATTAATTATTTTGTATTTTGATATTTTTAGAGCGGTAGCTTTGAAGAGCTTAAAAAAAATCACCAAGACACTTGCCACATTGACTGGTTGGTTTATTCATAATTCAGAAAGTGAATTGAAATATATAATAATAGTAATAAATTTTTTATTGCTGAATCTTCTGCATATTCTAATAAATAATTATAGAAAAATATCATAAGTCAATGATATGATAATTGATTTTTTTAATAAAGAGGCAATCAAAAAATGCAGAATTTCTTTTATAAAGTGTTAAAGTTTCAATTTGAAACATTTATTACTTGAAAATTAAATCAATTCAAACTAATCTTCAGAAAAAATTTAATGGTGATTATACCAATGGAATAAAGAAATTTGCAAGATAGTAAATTCTATAGAAAATTAGATTTTAAAAAGTGATACAAAACTATTGGACTGTTCTAAAAGATATATTAAGCATAAAATAAAAAAAGAAAGTAACCTACCTTATATTTGCAAGAAGATATTATTAATACCTATATTTTTACTCACATCTGCTACAAAAAGTTTCATGTCTAATAATAAAAAGCTATATTAAAACAATTATTTATTATTTTACTGAGAATATAAGTTATAGCAATTTGATTTGTAGTAGTCTTGGTGAAGACATGGCACATAAAGATGCATTGTTTGCATCTCATTAATTATCCAGTGTGATAGGTATGTTCTAGATAATATATTATTGATTATATTAATTTATGATAATCAATACAGTATTGTAAAATCATAGGTAGATGAATTAATAGGAGTATAGCCCTTCCAATCTTGAAGTTCCATTGGCATAATTGTTGCAACCTTTGTAGAAATATATGCACTATTTGTGCAGATCTTCAAATTTTCAAATTATTAATTTTTTTTCATATAAAATATTTAGATTAAATATTAATGAAATTTTTAACAATCTATAAATAGATATACATTAATTTAGATTAAATATTAATTTAAATTAATTGATAATTAATAAGTCTACAAATAAGCACACAAATAAACTTCTTTTAGTTATAATAAGGAAAACAAAAATAATTGTTATTGCACTTATCAAAACCTCTAATATATAACTTGATTCAAAAGAAAAAAATTACAAACAAAATTCATAATAAATAAAGAGAAAATAATTATAATTAGAATAGAATAACATGTTTTTTGATAAAATTTCTGAAGGGTTTATTAATGCTTTTAATAAAGACAAATTCTTTATCCATTAAGGTTTAGAGCAACCACAAAGTATCAATATATTTGTAGTTTGAGCTCAGTAAATTTCACAAAAATTCAAGTGTATTGAGGATTGTAACCAGCAAGTCCTTAAGTCCGTGGTCATACCTTTTTCATGTCATTGGATTAAAAATTAGATTTTAGATTATGTTTGAGATACCAGAAGATGTTTGTAGATTCTTTGGATGAGCTATGTGCCAATTCTATTCAAAAGTACTAACTATATACAGTATGAGTAAAATATACCTTTAAGAAATTTTAGTATATTTTAAGAAATTTTAAGCATATATCTGATATTATAAGACAAATAAGGTATGAAATAGATAATTCATATGATTTTACTACATGAATAATATACTTAAAAATATACTTAAAAAAATTTCAAAATAGTAGCATTTAATAAATATTGATTGAGTTATTTTTAATATTACATTATTTGTTAAACTATTTATTTTGTCAACATGTATATTTGAGTCTATTTGAAATAAAATGAAAGGTAATAAAATTAAGGCATAAGAAAAAAAATAAAACTCAAAAAATAAATTAAAATTCAAGAAATAATTACCTTAAGTATATTTTCTATGTATATTTGAAATAAAGCTCAGAGCTTATTAAATAAAGTTAATTTTCCTGAAAAAAATTAAAGCTCATAAAATAAAATGAAATAAAATGAATAAATTAATGCTAAAGAAATAAATTAAAGCTTATAAAATAAAGTTAAAGCTCAAAAAATAAATTAAAACTCATAAATAAGTCAATAATCAAAGCACAAGAAATAATTACACTCATGCATATCCAATTCTATTTTGCTAGCATATATTTGCATTATTTGACCTATTTGAAATAAAGCATATAGAATAAATTAAGGCTCAATGATTAAAGATAATATATATAAATTCTATTCAAATAAATTCATTTATATGCCAAAGTAAATAAAAACTTGAGACTATCTTGAGTTTTAAATTAATCATAACTTTATTTATTTAAGATCGAATAAAACTTATAATAATAGACACAAGTAAATATAAATACATTTTAAAAAATAAATTCAAATGCAAAAATAAAGCTCAAGATTACCTTAAAAATAGATAAAGTTTAACAGTGTTTTAAAACAAATAAAGTTTAAGAAAACTTTAAAGAAAACAAAACTCAAAATTATGTAATTGATAAAAATAAAGCTTGAATCTACACAATTAAAAAATAAACACAACATAAATATATTATGTATCATTGTTGATTTATGCATATATAAATTTTCATATATTTTTTTATAATGTATAAGTATATTTTAAATATATTTTTTTATAAAAGTACATTTTAAAAATATTTAATGTCTGTAAATTAGCTAAATAATGCAGGATTTTAACTAGGGAGCAGAAACCGAGTAAATATATATTTATATTAACTATTTTAAAGAAACGTTTAATATTAATTATAAACAAGGGTTCTGGGTCAGAGGAACTTACTGGCTTGAATTTTTAGTTTGCCAGCCATTGTACATTTGACAAAAATGCTAAATATTTAATATGCATTAATAATATAATAATAAATTTAATAAGAATAATATATCTAAAAATTCAAAATTCAGAATGTTCATTTCCTAAAAATCAAAGTTCCATTATTTGGATCGGGTGTGTCATTCTTATGTATTGAATTATATTTCATCTAGATGTACTGAAATTTTAATTGCTAGTAAAGCTTTAATATTTCAAAAGTCGTATTGAAAGTTTAATTAATAAAAGAAGCTGCTCTGCTTATACTGTTTCGTCATTTTGCCATTCTTATATGAGAATTCATTTGTAAATTTATTTATTTATTACAGATATCTTTAAAAGGTTCTCATTTACATAAATTAACGTTGATGTATGACTGATTCTCAGAAATTATTTTATACTTTGAAATTTAAATTATTATTATAATTCAAAAAAAATTATAAATATTAATACAAATTGAATTAAAATAGTAAAAGTCACATCGTGTGATTAATTTGAATCTAATTTTATATTCATTAAAATTTATTTACATTTTAATTTATCAAAAATTAAAATTCCAATATAAATAATAGTAGTTCACTAAATAATTTCATATTTTCATTTAATTTAAAGGTAAAAGTTATTTTCGTTCCACATTAAATGGAAAGAGGTGATCTTTGGATGACAGAAAATTTTGGATAGCAAAAAGACCATGAAGTTGAGTATTTCATTTATTTTAATTAATTAAATTAATTCAAAGTTGAATTAATGTTATGAATGCAAAAATTAAATGAATACTTATATTCTTGACAGTTTATAACATTTGCATTAATTTCCATTCTACCAAACAATTATCTATTGGTCTTTCCTTTCCTAAACGAACATTTTGTATATCAACTAGTTTTGCCTGATAATGTTCTTTTTTCATTAAATTTTGTGCTTTAGAGCAGTATACTGAAAATTGTAATCTTGTGAGTAATGTGAAAATGCAAATGTAAATGGCTAATCAAGTACTCGTGTTCTGTATCTAGACCAAGAAGTAAATTATAGAGGAATCGGTATCAACAAATATATAATAAATGGATAGAAATCGCAACAACCTATTAATTCACAATATCAAATCAATCATCAATCAACAACAACAAGTCCCAGCAACCAAAAAATAATCATAGCATTTACGTTTCTTAATATTCTTTCATCGCAGTTTTTTTAGTTTTCCTATAAATTTCGTTAATTCGAATTTATTATGATTTATAATTCTGAAAATATTAAAATGGTAAATTGTGTATGATGAAAAAATATAAATAAGATTTTAATATTCATAAAAATATTATACATGACATGCCGAAATCATATAAATTAAATTTTTAATATTCATAAAAAATATTATACATGACATATATCAATCATCAAATAAGTATCATGTGCTTGATCGGATCGGAAAATGGTCGTTGTGAAGTAACTATTTCATACATAATTCCACCAAGACTATAAATATTACCCCCCTTGTAAATTTATTTCCTCTTAATACTTCAGGTGGAATATATGGAATTGATTCATAAGTTTTGTTAATTTTGTTGTTAGAGCTTAAAATTAAATCATTTTCTAATTTACATAAACCTAAATCCATTTTTAATAAAATATCAGAATCATTATGATAGAGATTACATTCTTTTAAAATATTTCCACTATGAAGGTTACAATGAACTAAATTTTTTGCATGTAGTCTTTCAAGATCCTCTGATATTGATGCTAATATGCTATTTTTGTTTCCCGCCCTAAATTCCAAAACGTTTTGGTTAAATAATTATGTAAGTCATCATCAAATAAATCCATAACAATAATGTAGTTTTGTGTAGAAGGATTTATTGAAATTCCATAATATTTAGCAATATATTCACTATTAATAGTCTTTATCTTAATATGAAATATTAAAAGGAAAATTAATAAATTACAAAATATTAATAACTTACATTCTAAATATAAAGAAACTTGCCACTTTAAGAAATTCAGATATATCATATCTAGAATCTTTTATTTCTTTCAGAGCAACTTTGAGGCCTATTAAATTGTATTCCCAATCCTGTTTGATAAAATTCCAATTCAATTTTATTCCATTTTCTAATTTGGCAGAATACACGGATCCATGGCTACCACTTGCTATGTGTTCGAAATTTTGAAAATTATTATAAGGTATCCAATGTATGTTACTTGTTTGAAATTCTTGTATAATCTTATCAAAGTTATCATTCCCACTGGACCAAATTTTAAATTCTTGGATAAAATGTTCTTTAGTGCACAAAGTACAGTTTCCACCTGAACGAATAAAATTAGGGCAATCAAAATAAACGAAATCCTCAGAAGAATGACCTACTGGACAATACTATTTTTTTCAATTTCTTGAGTCATGTAAACTGAAAGAAATATTCGTTAAAATTTTTTTTTATTCCGAATTTATCATCCATTATCTAATGCCTTTCCTGATTTCATCACAAACATTACAGACTGACAAATTCTTGAATATCAATAAATCTTTGCGGCTGTATCCCTCTTTTGAGAAAATTGTCTTTTGCAAGTTTGATATAAGCAAATTGATGCGTTTTTCATAATAAAGATCCCTTTCTTAGGGAAAGAAAACATGAATTTTTGGGTTAATCCAATAAATAAATTATACTAAATGAAGTATACCTTATTTCATCCATTTTTTTTCTATTTTTCTTAATGTACAAAACAACTTACATGAATGTACTTATCTTATTTTGTTCTCTTCTGTCTTCTTGTAATTTCAAAGGCATGATAACTTACCTTGAAATGCTTCTCTCATTCTTTTAACGATATAATTTTTCTTTATTTTAACATATCATGAAAAATTTTTAGGCGTGTATTTACGTAATTATTACGGTACTCACGTAACGATTACGTAAATACACACTTAAAAAAATTTCACGTGTAATATTCATTGTTTCTATTACAAGTATAATCGAATTACTTAAAAAAATAATAAAAATAAAAAAAATACATTTGCTCCATGTGATATACCTGATAGCGTTATGAAAAAATAGAAGAAATTGCATTTCGTTAACCTTTAAACATAATAGAGCAGTAAAAATTCACAAATTAAATTTTTATAATAAATTTATTTAAGACATTAAATAAATTTATTTGAGACATAAACCTATAAGTTTGCCAATTCGATTCTAAATAATATGTGCACTCTCGAAATATTTTGAATTTAGTACTACCAACTTTCACTTTTATCCCAAAATTTCTTCAAGTATTAATTCTAAAATATACTTTGCATATATTATTAAAAATAATTTATTAATTTATTTATTTTTAACTATTCTATGAAAAAATTCTTAAACATTCGAAGAAGTACCAATTAGGAATGCAATCGATTTTATATCTTTATATTATGATCAAGAAATTGCTCAACATATTCAACCTTTAAAAAAAAAAAAGGAAAAACTAGATTTGAGTAATCTTGAAGTCTCTTCATATTTTCATGTATATGATAGCATCAGTAAATTTTTTTAGGCGTAAATTTTCGAAATATTACGTAAATATTTCGGAAATTTACGCCTAAAAAAATCTGTCTTTTGAATTCGCCCGCGATTTACGTGACAGAGAGCGATTTTTTACTAAGATGTTTCTAAGATGGAGCAAAAGTCCTTGTTCCTGGATACATGTTGATATGTGTTTTATTTTATAGCATCGATATTCATCGAAATATTCACGTTTAATTTTGGACGTCCGTGAAATAAAAATTTGACGGAAATATTTCGAAAACTTTCGAAAATCTCCGCAAACGTCATAATATTACGAAATATTACGTAAATTATTTGCGAAATTTTTCACGGACGTCCGACTTTAAACGTGAATATCTCAATGTAACCAGGAACCATGGCTTTCGATCAATCTTAGAAATACCTTATTAGAAAATCACTCCCTGTTACGCAAATCGCGAGCGAAGCCAAAACGATTTTTTTTGTAAATGGTGTAATATTACGTAATATCACGACTAAAAAAAATTTGGTGATTCTATAGCCAATGATTCAGGGTATAAGCAAGTAGAAAGTAGAAACCATATAAACAAAAAATATTGAAATGACGTATTCTTTAACTTTCTTTATATGAATGACTGCGAAAAAATATAAAGCATCAGTAAATTTTTTTAGGCATAATATTAAAGTGGATCGAAAGCCCTGGTTCCTGGCTACATGCTTATATATGTTTTATTCCTGTAGCTTCGATATTCATCGAGATATTGACGTTTAAAGCGAACGTCCGTAAAAACTTTGCAAATAATTTTACGTAATATTTCGTAATATTACGTAATATACACTTACGGAGATTTTTGAAAATTTCTGCAAAATTTTTGTTGAAAATTTTCACGGACGTCCGAATTTAAACGTGAATATTTCGATGAATATCGATTCTATAGATATGAAATACATTTTAGCATGTAGCCAGGAACCAGGAATTTCGATCCATCTTAAAAATACCTTAGTAAAAAATCGCTCTCTGACACGTAAATCGCGAGCGAATTCAAAAAACGGTCTTTTTTAGGCGTAAATTTCCAAAATATTTACGCAATATTTCAAAAATTTACGCCTAAAAAATTTACTGAGTTTAAGGATCATAGACCACGATGAAGGCGGAGGCAATTTCCACGAAAAAATGATGACCCTCTGGGATGTTAAGATTAAACCGTTGTCAACTAAACATATGAACAAGAGGCTAAATTACTTGCAAGATTATTATTCGAGCTTAGTTTACAGATTATATTAATATTAACAATATATTTTTTAAAATGAATGAAAATGTTTTGTTACATCCAAAGTTAGATTTGGATCCCAATTCAATTCCGGAATGGATGATTCTAACAGCCTATATAAATTCTAATGTAATGCCACTCGTCGTAAATTAAAGGAATACTTAATTCATCTGAGTTGGAAGATAAAAAGTTAAACGAGTGAATCATGAATAAATAATGTTCGTGTTGAATGAAGTATTTTAACATGCTTTCAATTTATTGATTTATTCTTTTATTATTTATTATGGTAGCTACAAGATAAAGAATTCAAACCAGAGTTTCGTCTATTAAAATATTTTGGCATTTAAACTCTGCAAACCGTGGAACATCTCTTCAGCTAGTTATTGATAAAGAAAGGTGGATTGATGTCGATAAAATCTTGTAAGTTCAATTAAAACATTCTATGAATTATCAAAAGTGGAGATAAAGAAGCTCTTGGAACCAGATTTAAGAGTGATTGCTTATCTTTTGAAAGAGAAGGGTGAAAGTAAGTTATTAACAAAATTGTTTATTTAAATTCTATTTATTTTAAACTATTCATTCATTTTTTAATTTTTTTTTTTGCTTAAGATTCCAGTGGTGACTGTCACCACTGGGCAAAATCAAATTTACGTGGCTAAAGTTAGGGTTAGCGGCTTTTCAGCAATTATGTAATTTTATTTGTTGGAAATTAAAAAAAGATTTCTTGAATAGCGGCATGTCATCACGTTATTTTCTGTGAATATTTTGTTTATACAGCTCAGCCCAACGAAGCAAAAAAAGTGAAAAACACGAAAAATACAAGAAATAAATGTCTTGGTGCATTAGAAAAGTTGGGGAGGCAATTTTACATATAACTAATACTTAAGTTCTAACTCTAACCCGGCCTCCCTCTAATTTCGGGTAATCACGCGATGGAGCTGGCCCGAAAGAATTGTATTACATCAAAAAAAGGGATCACAATATATATAAATATAGTCAGAAAAGGTAATGATTACCCTCAAACAATAAATTATTAAATTGGAACAAAGAAAATTAAAAAATCTTCGAATATCCCATTTATTTCTTTATTTCCGATGTCTGCTAGAATAGAAAATTGTCCTGCAGGTCATTCTTCTGCCCATAATTTCATTCGTTATGATGGAATATGTTCTTCGTGCACTAAAGAACATTTTATCCAAGAATTTAAAAGTTGGTCTAGTGGGAATGCTAACATTGATAAAATCATACAAGAACTTCAAACAAGTGACATTTACTATAAATTACAATGGATACCTTATGATAATTTTCAAAATATCGAACGCATAGCAGATGGTGGCCATGGACCTGTGTATTCTGCCAAATTAGAAAATGGAATAAAATCGCATTGGAATTTTTTTAAACAGGATTGGAAATATTATTTAATAGACGTTAAATTTGCTTTGAAAGAAATAAAAGATTCTTGTTTTGATATCATTAAATTTCTTAAAGTGGTATGTTTCTTCATATTTAGAATTTGAGTTATTATGAACTGTTATTAATATTTCGTAATTTATTTAATTTATCTTCATATTAAGATTAAGATCGCTAATGAACGTGGATCTATTATTGCTAAATATCATGGAATTTCAAAAAATCCTTCTACACAAAACTACATTATTGTTATGGATTTATTTGATGGTGGTTTACATAATTTTTTAACAAAAAAATTTTGGAATTTAGGATGGCACTCAAAAATAGACATATTAGCATTAATAGCATGGGGTCTAGAAGGAATACATGCAAAAAACTTAGTTCATTGTGAACTTCATAGTGGAAATATTTTGATTAACGATAATTTCGGTCCTTACAATTTTGAATTAAGAATAGATTTAGGTTTATGTAAATTAGAAAATGATTTAATTTTAAACTCTAACAAAAAGAACAAAATTAATGGATCAATTCCATATATTCCGCCTGAGGTGTTAAGAGGAAATGAATTTACAAGTGAGGGTGATATTTATAGTTTTGGTGGAATCATGTATGAAATAGTTACTGCACAACGACCATTTGCTGATCAAGAACATGATACTTATTTGATGATTGATATATGTAATGGTGTAAGATCAAAGGTCCCTGATTTTATGTTAAATTGGATTCCAGAATGGTATTTGGATTTGATGTATCGATGTTGGAGTGATGATCCTTCTGAACGTCCAACTTCTGCTGAATTAAGAAATTTAATTTGGGAAATATATGATAAACTTTGTTTTAAAGAAGTGGATAATAATATTATGCGACAACTTGAAATTGCTGATGAAAATCAAAAAAATATATCAAAATCTCAAAAGCAAGAATTAATTGAATTATTTTCAGATTCAAGTAAGTTACATCCACAATCATGTTACTTTAGCCGAAATATTTATACTCTTCATGGATTGCATGATTTATTGGATGAAATAAAATCTGGAAAATCTTCAGGTATATTCTTTGAACAATTTCAATTTTAATAAATGATCGATTATATTTTATTTAAATTTTTTTTGAATTTTTAAATTTATAGATCCTAATTTATTAAAGCCCAATGAATCAACTATTTTAAGAACCAATTCATAATTCTCATTCTAAAGAATTATTAAAACCGTTGATGAGGAATTGGAAATTCAAAGCCAAACGGAAAAATGATCATTCGCTAATACTTCAACCTTGAATTGGATTTGATTTAAAGAAAACATTAGTATAAACGAAGATTTTAATTTTATAAAAATAAAAAAAAAAGATTATCAAAATATTTATTTAATTCTTTAGTATATTTTTGTCATAGGAATTAATTTTCTTAAATATATTTTTATATGGGTTTTCATTTATTATTAAAGGAAATCTATTTAATTTATTTATCTTAAATTTTTCACGTGTACGATATTATTAAGATTCGTATTTAACATTTGACTTTGTTAGAATTTTTTTCTTTTTCTAATCACCAGTATCATTATCGGATATATCACGTGAAGCACGTATTTTTTAATTATAGCTTATCATTATGTTATTATTTTTTTCGTAACTAGGAATACTTAAGGGAACCTTGAAAAACAATAAATATTTATGTTAAAATAAGAAAAAAATTATATTGTTAAAGGAATGAGAGATACCATTCAAGTTAGTTATTTATTTAACAACACAAGACAAAAAGAGAACAAAGATAAGTATCTTCAGGTAAGATCTTCTGCTTTGTTTTGTACATTAAGAAAATAGAAAAATGAATATATACTTAATTTATTCTGGATTAACACAAAAATTCATGCTTTCTCTCTCTAAGAAGGGATTTTATTATAGCATACTTATTCCTTACAGAAATTTGCTAATAATAAACTTGAAAAACAAAATTCTTAAAAGCGGAGATACTCCCGAGATATAAAATGGCGCAAAATTTTATTTTTCATAGTCAGTATTTTATTTTTTATTAATAATAATAATGATAATAATTCTAATAAAAACAAAACAAATAAGTTTAAAAACGCAAATATATTAAGTAACGAATTTATTATTAATAGGTATGTCAAATCTCACGTAGTGGTGGTGCCATTCTAAAATTTATGTTATGGAATATGAATTCGAAATAAATTTGTTGTTAAAAAGACTATTTTCAAGTTATAAAGAAGAAAGGTGAAGATAAAATGAGAGCTAAAGTGTAATTTCAATTATTACAAAGTTAAAACGAAAAAAAAATCCCAAAATTCAAAAATTCATTTGGAGTTGATATCGATATTATGAAAATACGGTGTTGTAGAATAGAATTTAGAATAGTGTAATTGAGACTGACGAGACTCTTAAAACTTGACCAACATTAGACGCATTACATTAAACATCACGTGTTTGGTGGAATTTAAAATTTTTGGTTAAAAAACTGTAGTACATATATCATATCTAGAATATTTTATTTCTTTCAAAATATCCAATCTTTAACATTTCAAGAATATTTTCTGATTTAGCAGAATACAAACACCAGCTGCGTTTGATATTTTGGAATTATCATTAAGTATCCCAATGTAACTTATTTTTGAATGCTATACTAGAGTTGTATAATCGTATCAATCCTAAACCAACTTGGATGAAATGTTCGCTAGTACATAAAAACAAATTCCGAATGTAATTTTGGTGATTAGAATAAGCGAAATCCTCATCCTCATAAGATGACAATACTTTATTTTAGCTATTTCTGAAATATTCATTTTTTCCTTTTTTTGATTATTTTATAATTAATCCGACCGATGTTTTTTTTTTAATATCAAAACAATCCTAATTTTAGATTTAAATAAATTTTTCTTGTATTACTAATTTTAATACTTATATAAAAATTTCTCGAATGTCATTATAATTTTTTAAAAAATTTCCAGCAAATAATAACTGGAGAAATTATAATCAATCAATAACGAACAGAACAAATCTAATAACAATTCAATGCTAAGATAATTGACCTTCCAATTTTATAACAAACATAATGCTACAAGAAAGAATAAAACTCTTACCTCTCTTTTCAGGGTTGGGCAATGAATTTATTATAATAAATAAAGCTTATACCTTATTTTATTGATTTTCTTCATGGTTAAATAAAAGAACTTCTTACCTTGAAGACACTTATCTTATGTTGTCCTCTTTTTTGTCTTCTTGTGGCACAAAAAACGCAAGCAACTACCTTGGAAGACAACTCACATTCCTTTAACAAAGTAATTTTCCCTTTTTAACACAAATATTCATTTCCTTTAAGCAATATAAGTTCAGAAACCTAATTACAAAAAAAAAACAATAACAAAAGCTTTAAAAAATAAATAAAATAGATGTCCTATAATAACGTATTGTATATTTAAATCATGCCACGTTAAATTCGAGTTCTAATAATATGTGCACGTGAAAATAGTTTTAAGGTAAATAAATTAAATAGGTTTCCTTTAATAATAAACAATATATTTAAGAAAATTAACTCCTACGATGAAAATTTTTCTTGAATTTCCAGAACTTTTCAATTTTTATTTTTATTTTTTAACTCTCTTTATAACATAAACAATATATAAAAAAATGTGATTTCATTTTTTTATCCAAATCAATGTAAATGTATTCTTTAAATTCATTGGGAATCATATCCAAATCCAAGGTTGAAATATTAGAGAATGAAATTTTTCTGTTTATCGATATTTTGAGCAATGAACTTGAAGTAGTTGACACATTGGACTTTGATAATAATAAATTTCAAATTAAAATTGTAGTTGATCATTTATTAAAAATAAAATTATTGAAGTTCTAAAAAATATACCTGAAGATTTTCACCAAATAAATCATGCAATCCAAGAAAAGTCTGGATATACCAGCTAATATAACATGATTGAGGATGTAACTTAAATGAACGTGAAAATACTTCAAATAATTCTTGCTTTTGAGATTTCGATGTATTTTTAGGATTTTCATCAGCAATTTTAAGTTATCGCATAACCACAACAAAGTTTATCATATATTTCCCAAATTAAATCTCTTAATTCAGTAGAAGTTGAACGTTCAGAAAGATCATCACTCCAACATCGATACATCAAATCCAAATACATAATTCCATCAAAACTATAAATATTGCCCTCCCATGTAAATTCATTTCCTCTTAATACTTCAGGTGGGAATATATGGAATGAATCCATAAATTTTGTTAATTTTGTTGTTAGAGTTTAAAATAAAATCATTTTCTAATTTACATAAACCTAAATCTATTTGTAATAAAACGTAAGAATCATTAAGACAGAAATTATATTCTTTCAAAATATTTCCACTATGAAGGTCACAATGAACAAAATTTCTTGTATGTCTATTTATGATTGCCATCCTAAATACTAAAATTTTTTGGTTAAAAAATTATGTAAGTTACCTTCAAATAAATCCATAACTATAATGTAGTTTTGTGTAGAAGGATTTTTTGAAATTCCATAATATTTAGCAATAAATTCGTCATTATTAAGATCTTTATCTTAATATGAAATATTAAAAGACAAATTAACAAATATGAAATATTTATAATTGTTCATAATAACCTATTCTAAATATAAAGAAACATATCACTTTAAGGAACTCAACTATATCATATTTAGAATCTTTTATTTCTTTCAAAACAACTTAGATGCCTACTAAATTATATTCCCAACCCTGTTTGATAAATTCCAATCCTCTTTTATTCCATTTTCTATTTCGGTTGAATACACAGATCCATGGGATGTTTTGAAAATTATCCAATGAAACTTTTCATAAATGCTATTTATTTGAGATTCATATATAATCTCAAGCATTTCCACTGGACCGAGTTTTAAATTCTTGGATAAAATAGTATCTGTACACAAAGAACATATTCCACATTGAATGGAATTTTTGCAATCAGAATTAGCGAAATCTTCGGAAGAATAACCTGTCAGATAATAACTTATTTTTTTCTATTTTTTAATCTTTTTTTTATGGAAACCATTGCCTTTTCAGGGGATCGTCTAAAGCAGTGTCCATCACATGTAATTTTTTATCACGAGAATGTCACATGATCATGTGACATTCGAATTTGTTCTCGGGAAAAATTCCATCAATCAAAAACTTTGGTTTTATTAATAATAAATTATACTATAATATAATTTTTTTAAATAAAAATTACCTCATCGCCAAGACAAATCAATTTATTATACTCTTATTTATTTGTAATATATTACTAATACAATTTTTTTTCACGATTTTTTATTTATTTATTTATTTCGCCTTTACATTATTTAGTACGGATTCCAAACAGGATCTTAATTCATTAAGAAATATATCCATTTATTCATCATTTCCCTTCTCTTCTATCCTTCAATAAACATCACGAGTCCTTTTCATTAACTTATTTACAACCAACCATCAATTTTCAACAACCTTCTCATTAATGTTTTCTGAAATATTTACCTCAGTTAATTCGTAATGTGTGTACACCTCAAACCCACTTTCTTCAAAAATTCGTTGAAATTTTGTTCAAATGTCCGATGTGAGTAATTTTGTAGCACCATACATTTGTTCATAAAAAATATGGCAGCAGGGAAGCAAGTAACGACGATAAAATGAACAATAGCAATTTACTGACATCAAATTCAAAGCAGATTTTCCCTTTTCAAGTCATTTTTCAACAGCACATGTTTCTTCAGTAAGTATTTTTTGGACGGGAAAAGGAAATTTGTGAATTTCCTGAAGAATTTCTTCATCTACGCCCATAACTGAAATTTTTTTGGTCCGGAACTCAAAAGAAACAAAATTGGAATCTGCTCATTTTTTTTGATCAAGCATGGTGATTTTATAGCACGCACCTAAAAAAAATAAACGGTGAATAATTACAGAAAAAAAATCCATGAACAATCAAATGAACAAAACAAGAGGAATAGACAAATAAATAAAATAGAATGAAAGGGTGATAAAATAGAATAGACAGAATGAATGACAAATAGTAGATGGAAAGAACGACGCGAATAGCGGACGGAACGGACGACACGAATAGCGGATGGAATGGATGACACGAATAGCAGATGGAATGGATGACATGAATAGCGGATAGAATAGACAGAACAAGGAAGGAATTGAATGGATAGCATAAAAAAAAAGAAATGTATAAATGAAACGAATAGAATGAATGGAACGGATAGAATGAATTATAAAGAACGGGTAAAACAAATCAAAATTATAAAAAATAAAAATAATATAAATATTAATAAAAAAAATAAATATAAATATTAATAAAAAAAATAAATATTAATAAAAAAAAATAAATATTAATATTAAAAAAA